TAAGTGTTCGTTAAATGCGTAATGTTAATTACGTGAGTACATATCTGTTCATTTCTGAAAATAATATATGAAAAACTAAATTATTTTACATAAGAAAAACATTATAGCTTATATTTGTTTAGTACATTTTTTAAATAATGTAAAAACTAAAATGAATTGTAAAACTGAAAGTTACTTTTTAATTGTGTTCAGCATGGTGGACCGCATTTGAATTTGTGACGGGCCGCATGCCACTGCCCTAACCCTAAACCTACCCCTTACAGAAAACCTGTTTGCATTGTTACACTTTCAGATAAACATCATTTACTATTTTTAATCTTTTTTTTCCCCTTGTGGGGACTGAAGGCTGGTCCCCACAATGTAAAAAAATTCAGGTTTTACTGTCCTTGTGGGGATATTTGGTCCCCACAATGTAGCATAAACAAGTACACACAAACACACATTTGTTCTACATTTCTATATTGTCATATCATGTCAATATTTATTTTAGGGCTGTCGCGATTTGTCGATTTTATTCGACTATTCGATTTTTAAAAATCCTCGACTTCATTTTGCTCACGTCGACTAACCGGCAAAATACCGGAAGTGGCGCATTTCACGGACGAGAATCCATAAAACACATTATTAGACTGTTTCCCAAGGCTGCATGATACATTAAATCATAATTAAGCATAATTGTGAATTCACAAATGCTACGATTTAATTGGCTAAATAATTATATTCGATGCAGTTCTAATACAGTATATGCACTTTAATTATAGGTTAAGTACGTGCGTTCACAGTAGTTCCACAGGAACGGTTATCATTTACATGTGTGGTGCGTTTCAAACTCCATCTCTGCATGTTGTTGTGAGTTTGGATTTATTATAACGTTCATCTGGGAACGCAACGTGCGCCATTTCATCAGATTTGTAAGGTAAATCCTTTATAAATCTACGCAAACTCAGGAGAATACATTGCGGTTTCAAAATAAAAGTTCTGAGTTTACACGTTTTGATGTCCACATATTATTTTAATTACAGTGGCTATAGCATTTATGTCCTAAATAAATGGCCAAAATATTAAAGATTAAGTGGACATTTGAATTAAATGGTGCTTGGTCAATATTAAACAAGTATTAGATCGCACAGCAATGTGTAAAAATAATCATCAGGCCGTTGGCGCCCCCTGCAGGCCTTAGTTGTAATGCGTAATGTACATCAGCTCTATTGTTTATAATACATTATGTATTTTAACAGTTTTGTTCAATAAAATTATATGATTTATTGCTTTTGATACTTTATTTTTGAACTAATTATTATTGCCTCATTGCTATTATATATGTATTTTAAGTAATTTTAAAGGCTATTGTTCACTTACATCTATTTTTATTACCACAAAAAAATTCATTATAATTATAGGGCCCTATGAAATCCGTTTTATTTCCAAATTCAGTTTTTTTCCATTTTAATTTTTCTATACTCTGTTTTAATGGTTAAATTAAATTGTATTAATCAAAAGGCTTGTCTAATTAATTGAGGTTTACAGTTTTATCTTTACCAAATTCTGTTTTCCATTATTTTCTGGATTCCATTTTAAAACCCTTTAACTGTCACCCCCCATTTTTTTAAATAGGTATGCAGGTGCACTATCCAAACTTAAATTGTTGTAATTTATGAACACTTTGGAATACAGACATCTCTTTTTAAAGAAGAAAATCAGCAGATTATCGCAAAAGTGGAATAATTTTTTTTTTTAAAGTATCAAAACGTTATGGTAGTTTAAATTTACTGTAAAGAAAATGCACTATATTCATTTTATTTTATATATAATAAATATGTTACATAACAGGTTTTACTCTAAAGTTGGTATAAAATTAAAGCCTTATGTCTAAATAAGTTATGTTCCAAATTTGAAGTTGATATGAAAAAAATTGAGGTTCCTGTGAGATTTTATTTAGGGCGTTATACCACAAACAGCCACCGGGTGCCAAAAAGAAAGTTTTTTTTTAAAGTTTTCAGAAATACTGCACATTTACATTTTTCTCCTAAATAAATTCTGGTAAATAACATTTCTGGTAAATACCCCTTTAAAAAGTGTTTTTTGATTATAATGTTATTATTAGTAGACTAGAAGACGTGGATATGTTGTTATTCTTACACTATAATGCTGAACTTTGATTTCAGTGATTTGGACTATGAGATGGACACTTGCTTCTTGCACTCTATGTTGCACTTTACTTTTGCTTTAAAAAGAGGATTTCATAGAAATTTGGATTTCATTTGGTTTAATAAAATATAGTTTAATAAAATATTCTTAAGTAAAATTGTTGATTTTTTTGTGGGAAATTAATTGTTTAGATTAATCGATTAATCGATAAATTAGTCGATATATTAATCGAAATAAAAATAGTCGTTAGTGGCAGCCCTAATTTATTTATCATGTCTTTATTTATTTATCTATTCCTTTTTCTATTTTGCCAATCCTTGTGAGCTGCTAAATAGTCTTTCGTGGTTTTTAAAGGGGTCATATGATGCGATTTCAATGTTTCCTTTCTCTTTGGAGTGTTACAAGCTCTTGGTGCATAAAGAAGATCTGTAAAGTTGCAAAGACTAAAGTCTCAAATCCAAAGAGATATTCTTTATAAAAGTTAAGAGTCAACCACACCTACTTAAAACGGCTCGTTCTAACACGCCCCCACATATCTACCTCACTATGTGGGAAGATTTGCATAATGCCGCCCAAATGTTCACGCAAAGAAAGAAGGCATAACTTTTATTCTCACTGTAGTATTGTTGTTGACGCTGCCGCCATGTCGTGAAGACACTGTGTGTTTTGTTGTGAAAGCGAAACTACTTTGTTTGGTCTTCCAAAAGAGGACGATATCCGCTTCGTCATGCCTGGAGCTGATCCGTGCTGGTCGCTGAGGAAATACATCAACTTCGCGCTGTGGATCGCCGTATAGGCTTTCACCGTGGAGTCCAGCCCAGGGTCGTCGAAATCGCCGGCCGCACCGTTCTCAAGCCCGCCGCCTCTGCTCACTCTAACCCTCCCACCGTACCTCACGCTAGCCCCCGGCCTCCGCTCTCTCAAGGCCACTGTGTGTGACACTGTTTCGTTGTGACAACTACTTTGTTTGGTCTTCCAAAAGAGGACACGACTAGAAATCAGGGCCTCCGCTCTCTCAAGGCCACTGTGTGTGACACTGTTTCGTTGTGGAAACTACTTTGTTTGGTCTTCCAAAAGAGGACGATATCCGCTTCGTCATGCCTGGAGCTGATCCGTGCTGGTCGCTGAGGAAATACATCAACTTCGCGCTGTGGATCGCCGTATAGGCTTTCACCGTGGAGTCCAGCCCAGGGTCGTCGAAATCGCCGGCCGCACTGTTCTCAAGCCCGCCGCCTCTGCTCACTCTAACCCTCCCACCGTACCTCACGCTAGCCCCCGGCCTCCGCTCTCTCAAGGCCACTGTGTGTGACACTGTTTCATTGTGACAACTACTTTGTTTGGTCTTCCAAAAGAGGACACGACTAGAAATCACGCAACACGTAAAAAGACAGTATAAGTCATTATAATCCGTAATTATGTCCCCACTGGATGCAACAAATGCCTCGTTTATAATGGGTTTTAATGTTTTTGTCTCATCGCTCCGGCCGGACAGGGCATCACAGTATGGTGAGGGGCGTAACATTTCCGTCACACGCTTGAGGAATTCGGCCAATCACAACGCTCTGGATAGCTGGCCAATCAGAGCACACCTCGCTTTTCAGACCAATGAGCTTTGTAAAAATCGACTCGTTTCAGAAAGGTGGGGCATAGAGGATAAACAACAATGTACAGTATGTGGAAAATAATGTGTGTTTTCAACCTTAAACCGCATAAACACATTTCATTACACCAAATACACAAAATAATGTTCTTTTTAGCAACATCATATGACCCCTTTAAGTTTATATTGGGAACAAAAATAATGCTTTTTTTAATAATAAAGAAATGTTTACATCAGGCTTGTTATATAAAATAAATGAATTGAAATTAAATGTATGTAGATATTTCCCAGAGAAACATTTTTGACTTTTATCTAATTTAAGTTGAGGTATTATAATGACTAAAACAAAAAAATTTAACTTAATAAAAACTACAGACACATTTTAAAAACTACTACAAATGACAAAAACACAACAAAATTAATAAAAAAGAGAACTGAGCCTAAATTAAACTGAAAACAGAAAAAATTAAAATAAAAGCTAATTCAAAATATTAACAAAAATGATAATATATGCGTGATACTGAAATTGTTACTGTATGTTAACAGTATGCTAGAATGCTATTCCAGACATCGCTTTGTTTCAGAAGGATCTTTTCCAGAAAAACTTAGTTTCTGTGAAAAGGTAAAAGGGCTTTACTGTATGTTAACAAATGAATAAACATTAAAGAGGAAGGAGCTGTTTTCAGTAATGTTTACAGTCTGTTGTCAGCCGTCACAGCTGACATATAGTGGGGCTCTTTGTTGTAATATTTACAGGATGGGTGCGGAGCACTAAATTCGATTTGTTGCCTCCCATTTCCATAATTACGTTTTATTCATTCTCTCCTCTCTTATTTGCTGGGCTTGAACTCTGTCTTTCAGTTCAAGCTTTGCCTAGACAACACACACGCTGAGAAAACACACAACTATGATACTGGACAGTACTGGAATACATTTTAGATCTCATATTCTTCCTCATGCAAGTGTGCTATGTTAAAACTAAAACATAGTAGGCCAGTCTATTCAGCAAGTACTGGTTGACCTATATGAATTTTAACTGCTGATATCTAAATTAAGGTCCCCACTATGCCATTAAGTATAACACAAAATGTGTGCACAACAAACTTTTTTTTTACTGAAAATAAAACAGACAGGACTTGATTTTAACAATGAGACTTGGCGACCTCAGCTGAAAAGTTGTTTCAGAAGTGAAGCAAGTTATTATATTTTCATTATATATTACAATATTCTTTTTTTTATTATTGAAATAATGTGCTCAGATGAACTGTTCACAATGAAACCATGATCATTTTATTTGATGACACCCTTATTAAATGTACGGTGTTTTTTAGTATTATTTATATACTTTTAAACTAGCTTTTATTTTAATATTTTCAGTTTCCTTTTTTATTTTAGTTTAAGTTTTAGTAATGTTTTGTCAGTGTTTTTATTTTTATTTTTTGTAATATTTCCATTTTGCTTCCATTTATACTTATTTCAGTTTCAATTTTAGTCATTTTAGTATTTAAGCATATTTTGTTACAGTTAGTTGGCAATTCTATTTCTTAAGTTTAAGATGCAATCATTTATTTTATTTCAGCTTTATTTCAATGAACTTTTTTTTGCTTACAGTCTCATGAGAACTGCTCCTCACCACACGGAAGAGAGGGGCGGAGCGAGCAGAGCTCATTAGCATTTAAAGGGACATGCACTGAAACGGGTCACTTTGAACAGAGCTGTTTTGACAGAGGGTAAAAGGTAGGGGTGGGGGAAAAAATTGATACAGCATAGTATCGCAATATTTTCCGCGGCATTACTGTATCGATACACGGACGCCAAATATCGATCTTTTATTATACTATTTGGTAGAGTAATAAAATACATTTCTTTACAATCCACTAGATGGTGGTTTTTTTCTGGTGAGGTCAGCTGGGCCACCTTCAGCATGCAGTAAGTTAGTAAAATAAAGAGGGCGGCATCTCGGAAAGCTATCAGGAAAGCACGTCCGCGTTTAAATCGGATGTATGGACTTACTTCGGATTTGTAAACAAGGAGGGGGTGTAAGTAGGGATGCACTGAAAATATAGGCTACATATAATAATAATAATATATATGGCGCACCACGTCGCGCCCGCCCGACAGTGTTCAGCGCGCATGTTTCATGTTTGGTTTGACGCTCCGCTCAATATTCCGATCTATGAATGTGCGTTCCGCTCATGTACCGCTCATGCTCATCAGAAAAGCAAAGTCCGCTCAAATAACGCGCTGACAGGAAATTTCTATGCAGTATAGGCCTACTTGTTCCGGTTTGCAGTAGCGCTACTGTGCTGTAACATGCTGTAGGCTAGTTCAGCTGTACTGCGCAACGCTGCTAAAATAATGCTACCTTCAGTGACGCTATGCTCGGCTCATATGCTCTGATAATAATAGCTTTGTAGGACTATACATAATTTGGATAATTAGTCAAAAAACAAACAAACAACAACTTATATCTGATTCTGTTACATAGAAGTGAATAAAAATAATATATTGATATTTAATATTAAGATAACACTTTTCAATAAGGTTCCATTAGTTCATGTATTAACTATCATGAGCAAACAATGAACAATACATTTAATACAGTATTTATTAATATTTCTTAATGTTAGTTCATGAGAATACAGTTATTCACTGTTAGTTCATGTTAATTCAGAGTGCATTAACTGTTAACAAGCACAACTGTTGATTTTAATAATGCATTAGTAAATGTTGAAATTAACATGAACTAAGATTAGTAAATGCTGAAGGACTATTGTTCATTCTTAGTTCATTATCTAAAGTAGTTAACTAATGAACCTTATTGTAAAGTGTTACCAATATTAATATAAATTCTGTCCAGTTTTATTGTGTTACTTTCAGTAAAAGTGTAATAATGAGAAACTTTCTCAAAATAATGAGAAAATTTATCATAATGACTTAACATATCGTAATAACGATAAACTTTATCGAAATGACTTATCTTCTCATAATAATGAGAAACTTTCTCGAAATAATGACTTAATTCACGCATGCGCAACGCAACGTGATGGCACGCTATAGCGACATCTGTTCGTCAAAGCCATGCAGGAACACCGCAAACATTGCACGTTAAGCGTTTTCCTAACCGTTATAGAAAATGCATAAGCGTTGCTGTTTTGCGTTGCATTCATATTTTGGGTCCACCTGAATGCCTGCAGTATGCATGATAATTAAGTTGTGTATTGAATTTGGTTCAGTCTGTCTTTGTACTTCAAGCTACTTTAAGCATTTTCAAGTTAAGCGTTTGTCCTGCAAGAAGCGGGATGCTGATTGAAGACCAAGTGGTTGCCGTGGTAATGAACAACTACGCTTTGTGCAAGCGGGATGGGATTGGGCTACTACTGTATAAACATTGTGGGCCTATGCGATGCATGAAAGTGACAGCTAATAAAACTAACAAATCATTGAAATTAACATCTATTCATTAAGTTTATGTGTGTAATGGCTTTCATTTCTTCATAAAATGTGTGTGATTTTTGTTGGAATATATTCCTCTATATCTGTTTGAAGCCATGAACTATTTGGCAGAGTAACTTGGTAAGTGCTGCAAATTAACAAGACTACATGCGTATCATTTATCTGAAATCGTTAATGACTATTATTACACTTTAGATTACAGAACAAAGCAATGTTTGCGGAGTTCCTTGGGGGGGGATTGATACAGCATAGTATCGCGTTTTTTTTCTGTGGCAATACTGTATCGATACACGGACGCAAAGTGACGTTATACTATTATACTATTTGGTAGAGTAATAAAATACATTTCTTTACAATCCACTAGATGGTGGTTTTTTTCTGGTGAGGGCCACCTTCAGTAAG